ATCCCTAGATCCCTTCCTTACCCAATAAAGTGCCTCCATTCCCCTGCTAATTATTTCCACATCCCACACAATGGAACCCTTATTCACAAACTACAATCAATCGTTACTTTGCAATGCAAGCATCCCTCTAAATGTACATGCACAGTCACACAGAAACACTCACAGATCCACCATTACTAGCACACATTCACAGATGCACACATACAGACACAGTAATGCAGACATACATTATTTCTCATGTAGGAGTTAATTAAAAGGGAGAAAGCACAAGTTTGATGTAGTGCCAGTGGGTACGTATTTGTTTGTCGGGATGCTGTCCTGCTGCTCCTTCTCCCCCACACGCCACTTCTTCTGTTCACTTCCTGCTGTTCCTCTAGATGATCTCACATCACAGTAGGTGGGCCTCCTAAAAATGCCACTGGCCAGGTCAGTAACCCAGAGGTATTTCTGAGTCCCTGGCATAACTCCCTTTGTCCCAGATAGTAGGTGGCCTTTATATAATCTGTTTAAAGAGGCTGGCTGATTGGCTGGGACTTCAGTTAAAAGACTGGGCAGTGCTCACAGTAAAGAACTTGGCCACATTACAGATGCTGTGAGAGATAGGATGTATATGTGTGTGCATATATGTTTGCGTGTATGTAGCTGTGTGTGTATGTGATGTTTGTCTGTAAGTTTGTAGCGGTGTGTCTGTATGTGTATATGGGAGTGTTAATCTGTGTGTGGGAGTTTGTAGCTGTGTGTATAGGTGTGCGTGTAACTGTGTGTGACTGTTTAGCTGTTTGTGTGTGTGAGTGTATATATGTGTATGTGGTGTGTGTTTGTGAGTTTGTAGCTGTTTGTCTGTAAAAAAAAGTATATGGGAGTGTGTATCTGTGTGCATGAGAGTTTGTAGCTGTATGTGTAGGGGAGTGTGTACCTGTGTGTGTAAGATTGTGTACCTGTGTGTGTGGGAGTGTGTACCTGTGTGCATGGGAGTTTGTATCTGTGTGTATAGGGGAGTGTGTACCTGTGTGTGTAAGATTGTGTACCTGTATGCATGGGAGTTTGTGACTGTGTGTATATGGGAGTGTGTACCTGTGTGTGCGGGAGTGTGTACCTGTATGCATGGGAGTTTGTAGCTGTGTGTATAGGGGTGTGTGTACCTGTGTGTGTGAGTTTGTAGCTGTGTCTGCATAGTGGAGTGTGTAGCTTAATGTGTGCAATTGGGAGAACATGTGTCTAGGGGTATTGATCTGCGGTCTCCATGGAATAAGGCCAGTTGTAAAATGCTAATTCTTTAAAAGTCTTATTTCAGTAACACAGTGCTAAATTGTCTGGCTTTCATTGAGTTCCCAAATATTTGCATGTAGCCATATAAAATAGCATCCTTAGAAAACAGAGACTCAGACGTTGCTGAAGATAATCCAAAAGTGGGATACCCGTATAAGTACATTGTAAAATGTCAGGATATCCAGGTAGCCAAACAGGTTTCACATTACTCCATTATTGCAAGGAGAGTGCTTTGCTTCATGTATTTATATACCATTTTACACACTTTTCTCTGGTTTACTACTAAAAAAAATGTTCTCTTTAGCATAAATTATTTACCTTATAAATATATACAAAACTGAATCAGCAAAGGTTTTGCATAGTAAGTCTGTGATTTAAGGACAGGAAAAACATATATTAACAGTGCATTTGCAATCTATAACTGTAAAGCACTGTGATAATGCTGCCTGTTACAAGTGTTTATGAGGCATTATCTGTTATGTGAATGCTTACTACAGGTCATCAGTATACATTATGTAATTAACTGTATATGGTTAGTTATAACATAGAATGCGAATCTGGAATTGGCAGTTTAACAGGATTTTAAAAAAACAAAAAAACGCAGGGTACAGCCTACATCCTCAATAGGAAATAATTATTAATATGTATTGAATAATAAATTATTAAAACAAAATGAGATCAGAGTGTACAGGGAAAGGAAGACATCTATCTATGTTTAACCCATTAAGTACAGTCCTTGAAAAGGCTTCTCTTGCATGCTTAATACTGTAAGTAAATATATTTAAACATTTTTTTAAAAGAAAAACAATGTTACTTCTATATTTCTAATATTTTCTAATAGTCAGTTAATCCCTCTTAAACTCAAAATAGACATGGGCTATTTATTTTTTTTATTGGGTTTGGTATTAAGCCAAAAGAGACTTTGTTAAATGCTACTTTTGTTCAAATCCAGTCTGCATGTGGAAGTGAAATTAATTTGTCTGCTAGGGATTCTGTCCCTTTCCATATCATTATGATCATGTACATGCTTTTTTACATTCTGCTGGCATTTTCCACAAATGTCTTGTGTTGCCTTAACAGCAAATTATACACTAAACTGTTGTTGTTTTATTATGTTTGTTTACGTGCTATCTGTGTAGTCAGTGTTTCAAATATCTACTATGAAAGTTATTTTTTTAATGAAATTAACTTTGTAAGTGTGCAAGTCCATACATTATAACTGTCAATTTAGGAATGGGCTGGATGTCTAGAGTCTTTTTTTTTAAATTTATTAAAATGTGCAAGTAGATGGAATAATTCATTTTTTAAAGCAGCATTGTAACCATCTGGGAACTTTGCAGAATCCTCGATGGTGGTGACATCTTTACTGAGTGTCTGGGACCAGGCAACCCTAAATTCTACTTACCTGAACCTGTTCATCAGGAGTTCAGCCATCTTGTTCATCCTCTTCTGTGAGCCAACGTCACTGCTGTACTCTTGCGCATGCGAGACCCCCGGATCCTTCCTAGATAACGATAATTCCCTGTAGTCGTCACTGGTGATGGCCGGGCGATTGACACTTCTAGATGGCAGTAGCTCTGCCCAGTGTCTAGAAGTGTTAGGCATGGGAGAAATACTGAGTCTGTATTTCAGTGAAATTTCATCACAGTCAATATAAGTATTTCCTAAAGATTTTATCTTTCCGAAATACTCATTTTTTAGGAGGGCTGACAGTGCCGCTTTAAGTAGCTGATATAGTGTATGGTCAGCTACACTACATGCAAATCTATGAAAAAATGTAATAATATCACATATGTGATTGCGGGCAATACATTTTAAAGGCAGTATTAGAGCTGACACAAAACAGTGTACATAAAAATACATTTGCTGTCTCCGATGGAGTGTGACCCATTTATTTTAAATAACATTCCTATATGGTAATTCCATAAATAAAATCTCTGCAAAAGTAACATAACAATTTTAACATTTTAAAATACAGCAAATTTCTCAACAGAATGTTCTGTATTTATATTGAATATAGCCACTCAATGTCAGGGCCGGACTGGGGATACAAAGCAGCCCCATAAGTCATTGTGCCATGTATTGTGTGTAATATATTTTACACACACTCTGAAAGGACCAATATTTTGAATTAGAAAAATAAATATACCAATAATATGTAAGGCTATGTCTTGCCGCCCCAGATGATTGAGTAAATATATATATTTCAGGTAGACAGCCACTAGAGGCTGGATTAACCCTGCAGTGTAAACATAGTAGTTTCTCTGAAAATGTTTTCACCTGCAGGGTTAAAACTAGGGGGACCTGGCACCCAGACCACTTCATTGAGCTTAAGTGGTCTGGGTGCCTATAGTGGTCCTTTAACTTGGCAATATGTTTTTCGATTCTAAGTGTAAGTTGGATTTTTTTTTTACAAGTGTAATATGATTAACAGCTAAACATTTTAGAAAAACACATTAGTTAGACTCTTCACAATGTCAGAAGGGCCTCCATTGCACTAGGAAAGATAGTGCTGCTACAGTGCCCAATATATTGTGAGCAGTTGCATCAGGCAGAGATAAATAAGATAAGTGGTTTTCTTGATATCTCTCTGGTAAGGTTAGCGTTTGTGTACACAAAGCTTTGATATCCTCACTTGGTTCTAATGTTAAGACCAAGTTCATACCCTTTTCCTATGACTGATATCTACTAGACTTGTGCATTCAGTTTCAGGCGAATTGCAATTTGCCCGAATATAGTCTGATTGGCAGTTCGGCAAATTCCATATTTCAGTAAATGTTGATTTTACACATAGATCAAGTGAAAAGAGGCCAACATAGGGAAAAAAGAGGAGAACAGAAATAAGTTTCTAGAATGCACAAAGCAAGCAGTTAATACAAGAAGGTTGTCCTTCCACAACTTGCCTTTTTCCGTAATAGTGTGTTAAAAAGTATCAAGTACTACAGCACCGTGTGCAATCAGCTAAGGAACAGTTTACACCTATTCTCTCCAAGTGTTATGACTCAGAAACAAATCCACCTATAGGATTAGCAACATTAATGTTATTCTGAGCATAAAGACTAACAAGTGGGATTATCAGAGTGACAATTTGTGTCATACCGATACACAGTATATCGAATGAAGATATCCTCTGGAGTCTGAATTGTACACACACAGGGTCACTACTTGCTTCACAAATATCGCACTGACAAGCATACTGAGGACTGTGCAATCTGATAATTGCCATGTTATATACATTATAGCCACCTGGCTGTGTTAAGATGCTCATGTCCCAAGTTAATGTTGTCCTCCATGTCTCTTTCTCTCTGTCTTTGTTCCCATTGTGGTATGTGGCTAGTCTCTGGTTGGGCATGTTGCAATTACTTCCCTATGCTCTCCGATGTCCCCTACTCCACCAGTTGCCAATTCAATGAGGTCTGTTGTGATTGTGTAAAGTTTGCAAGGTTTTTTTTAAAAGGCATTTTTTAAAATATCTCCATGGTGTTGCAACTCATTCTATATTATAGGATCCCTTACGTTAGAGGAGTGACTTTTGCAATCAGAGTTTTTACATATTTTGCACCAGAGTCACCTGGTGTCTAGAGTCCTGCCACCCTGACAGCAGAACATCAACAGTCTGCAATCTCTCTGTTTACTTCCAGGTCCTGCTGTGCCTATCTGTTTCTTGTCAAGTGTCTTTCTTAGACTCTGTCCTTGCTGAGTCCATCTGTAAACCCATGTAAAACCCATTGGCCAAATTGCACATAATGTGATGTAGAGCTGTCAAGGCCTATGTCTTATTTTATTACCTGGTTTGCCCGACCACAATTGCTTGTTTCAATTACTGTTCTACTTTAGTCAAGCAAACAGTGTGCTATCTAGCCCAGTCCTATTATCAGCATCTTGTAAATTCTTTCCATCAACCCTCCACGTCAAGTCTTGACCAAGATTCCACTCAGGTCAATACCATATTAATTGTGCACGTGTAGAGAAATATGAGAGGTACGCAACTGGAGAAAGACAATGTAAGAGGTTCTTCTATATTCTATATATTTACAGTGAATTATCACATGATTTTTTTTCTTATGTCAGCAAGCAGTGTAGTGTTTATAGAGCTGTATTGAGAATGTGTCAATTAACAGCGAAGTGTATTTTATCCTCCTTTTTTTGTTTTATTATTATTTTTTTTAATTATATATGAGGAATCACTACCTTCCAATACACCAAAACACAAACTATGTATTTATAGAATGTGTCTTTTAACTATCTAGTTATTATATTTTTATAAATCCATATACAATGTGATGTATTCAAATTATAATTTTCTGGGCAAACCAGGTCATAAATTAATATGGCTATCATCCAAAATTCTATGTATAGCCCGAAGAAATGTGTTATATTCAGCAGGTGGGACATAGATCTACAGGTGTCAAATAAATTTTAGCTTACCTCAAATGTTGGTAATTAACCTAAACTGTGCCTGCTGCAATGTAAGGTTTGCATTAACTTTCCTCCTGCAAGCTCTATACAAATGTGAGAGAGCCAGCATGTTATTCTGTTTTTCAGGTAGAAGCTCGATCATCTTGTCATTCTTGGGGCCTGTAGATAAAACTGTAATCAGGGCCACCAACAGGGTGTGACAACCGTGATGGTTGTTAGGGGCCCAGCGATCTTGGGGGACCCAGTCATCCTGTCCCACATTCAGCTGCACAGAGGCTTGCACACATTGGGGGCTAATCATGAGGCTCATGCACTTAAGGCCACCCAATGGGTACTGTATAACAGGGGAAGGTTGAATGCAAAGACAAATAACAAATAGGATGATGAAAATAGATATAGATCAAGAAATAGAAATAGAATTGAAGATGAAAGACATTAGGAGGAAGAAAAAGAGAGAGAAACAAATGGAGGGGAAGATTAAAACAAAAAAGAGGATGGAAAGACAATAATGAGAGTGCAAAAAAAGATGGATTCCTAGAGAATATGCAACCAATATGTATAGAGCAGGTATCTCAATCCCTAATGGAATATGGTGTAGATAATCCCTGTTCTAAATAATATACTTTGTTGTTTTAAAGATAAAAAGTATCCATATAATTGGGCAACCCAGTACATGAAACTGTGTGCTGTAGCAATAAATAGCCTAGTTTTCCCACTTAAAATCGGATAAAATTTTTAAAATTTGGGTGGAGTCTCTGAGGTATGATTTGAGGCAGGAGACTAGACGCTGGAGATATTGGTCCACGTATTCAGAAAGATTTGCGGTGAGGGATCCAATTCCCATTACAATTGGCCTTCCAGGAGGTTTCACTAGTCTTTTATGGATTTTTGGAAAATGGTAAAACACTGGTAATCCTTGGAAATTGTACGTATAGGTATTTAAATTCTCTATCGTTCAAGATACCTCTGTCTTTTCCATAATTAAGAGAATTAAGATAGAGAATTTAAATACCTATACGTACAATTTCCAAGGATACCAGTGTTTTACCATTTACCAAAAATCAATAAAAGACTAGTGAAACCTCCTGGAAGGCCAATTGTATCGGCCAATTGTATAGTGGATCTTCGAGTTGGAAACCTTAGTCCCTAAGGGACTTAACATAGATTTCGAGCTCAATGCTTTCTTATGAGATCCATCTACCTAATCATGTTTACATTCTGTGCCTACCCCACATATATACTCACACACACTGCATCCACTACACAAACACACTGCATTCACTACACACATTCTGCATCCATTCTACACACACACAGTGCATCCTTGTGTGCAGACTCGGGAGGAGGCATGGTGGGTGCACTTGGGGAAGGCACTGTGGGCGGACTAAGGGGTTGGCCCGGGGTTCCAGACATTGAGCTCTGTAAGGGGGCCACACAATTTTTGATGGCAACCCTGGCTGTAATACTACAGACATCCTGCCAGTTTGTCATACTAGAGATAATAACTTCACTATATTATTATTCTGTCATTGTAATAGTTTATCTGCCATCTTTTCATTCTAACAGCCTAGAGAAAGGATGGCAGCCATCTTTTCATTTAGTCAGTCAAGGAATACTGGGCCAGCCATGCTGTCATTCTGTCAGCCTTGGTGAAGTAGATCACCTATAATTTCATTTTTTTTTGTAGGGTTATTAGGTCAGCCAAGTTGTTATTCTGCTATCCTAGGGATGGTGGGCCAGCCATCATGACATTCTGTCATCTTTGGGTTTGTAGATAAGCAGTCTTGCCAATCATTTTGCCTAGTGATAGAAACTCATTTTGTCAGCGTAGAGAAAGGTCCGTCATCTTTTCATTTTGTCAGCCTAAGGTTAATAGATTGGTTGTCTTGTCAATTTGTTAGCCTAGAACTATTAGGTCAGCCATTATCCATTTTTTCAACCTAAAGTTGTCACTCTGCCATCCTGGAAATGGTAGGTGAGCCATCTTATCATTCTATCAGCCTAGGTATGGCAGATCAGCCATCTTGTCATTCTATCAGCCTAGGTATGGCAGATCAGCCATCTTTTTGACAACCAAGGATTACTGGGCCAGCCATCTTGTTATTCTGTCAGACTATGGTTCTTAGATTTGCCTACTCGTCATTCTGTCTGCCTAAGGATAGTAATTTGTTTATCTCGTCCTTCTAGTGAAAAAAGTAATTCGTCCATCTTGTCATTCTGTTGGCTGAGAGATAATAGCTTGCCTATTAGGTTATTCTGATGGGGGAAATAATAGCTTAGCCGGCTGTTCTAAAACTGTGTAGACTGCCGTCTGTCTGTTAATCTGTCTGTCTGTCTGGCTATTCAATCATAAGTATATCTTTCCAATGAGTGACACAGAGACCAGTAATGGTGGTGCTTTGCTTTCATTCACGTTACAGTATGTCGATGCTCAATTAATAGCAGCTGGGAGGATTTCTCATCCCATTGATCTCAAGTGGTGGGGATGAAACAACAGATGTTCTCAGTAAACATTTGAATAATGGGGTAACTGGCAGTCTCCCAGGAAGCTTAGACATGATCGATGTATTATTTTCTTGTCTGGCACACAGGGAGTTAAGCCACCTCTCTCATAAGCTTCCGGTATATGTTCCTGGTAAGCCGAATGTTAACATTTACAAAATGGGCTTTTTACTGCATTTAGAGGCGCTATGTCTCTGCTGGCAATGAATATTTCATGTTATTTGCCTAATTACAAGCTCTGGGAAAAGTATAGTGACTGAATATAAAGAGAATGTTTGGGATTAGGTTAAAGGCCAAACCCCGGTCTCGTCCAATCCTTTCTTTTAGTGTTTTCAGGGTGTGAGTAACTTTGAATAGTTTGCTAATAATAGTCTACTTAATGGTTTGTTCTGCAGAACAAGAAGACGTACATTTTCACAGTGCAAAGAAATTCAGCTAACTCTGATAGGAGGCGTTAAATCAAGATAGAATTCCTGTGTAGAGATGGGCGAAACTCTTGCTATTTCAAAACAAATTCCTTAAAATTGTGTAATATATTCCATGAACTAATTCAAAAGATAATGACTGACAAAGGATTATATATATTTCATGCAGCCAACGAGGGGCAATAAATTGGGTTAAATCAGTGATTCTGAACCTTTTTTTTTTCCTCATCGATGATGTATAAATGTCGCTGATTTTACAGTATACTAGAAAGGAATCACTGGAATGCAACAAATTCAAAAATGAAATGCAAACCCCAAGTTAAATTTTTTTCTAAATTCTCCTTCACATATTTTGTGCTAATCTTACTTTTCATGCACCACAACTCACTGAATAGTGACTACATGATTGGTCCTTTACACCGACTGACCTGTGTAATAATAACATAAACTACTTCGACCCCTAGTTTTACACCTGTTTCCCAATTATCTACCCCCTGTTGTTCTTTCCCAGTCTCATTGTTTTATCTTTACAAATCAGTTTCATTTTTATATTTTGTTCCCCGGGTCACTCTTTTCATATTCCATCCAATAATACAATATTTAATTCTGTATTTCATAACATATTTGCTATATTTTGTATGCAAACCCACATTCCATTTTAAATTTCCCATATTCTAACCCCATAATCCAATATTTTATGCCATTTTTTTACATTCCCTTTTCTATATTACTTTTCCATTGCTGCCCCTAGCCGCCTCATTTTGCCCTCCTTTCTCCTTTCAGAGGCTTCATTTTTCATTTTTTCACATGTGAAAATGTTTTCCTAATTATTTATATGATATATAAAGCAGTGTATGTTCATTTCAAAATATTTCTGCGCCTGAGGAAGACCTGTTACAGGTTGAAACTTGTTGTGCTTTATTTTGTTTTTTAATTAATTGTTAATAAATACCTACCTTTTAAAACATTCACCCTTGACTCTGGAGTTCATGTTAAAGAGCAATACTGAGTTCCTGAGAAGTGTGATTGCTGGAAATTCCATCTGATATATCTTTGATGAGATGAAATGCGCCATAAGTCCAGAGCCAACTTTTAATGGACTCTGAAAAGTGTGAGTCTGATGATTTATCTTCACATATCTTTACATGTTCTATACTGATCATATTAGGTGTATTTGTTTTACATCTATTTGACATAGGAAAAAGGAATTCCACTATATTGGTTACCAAAAGAACCTTTATTTGTAAGGTAACCATAGATATCTGTGTGTGCTACAATACTGCCCTCAAAAACTCGTTGATGAGGTATCTGCAGACCCAAAAATGAGCATAGGTATGAAAAGAGAGAATCCAGGAGTCTAGTCACTGCAGTTTGGTAAGTACTTGGAAAGAGCTTCGGCCCCCGCGGATGCCAATAATGCACTGGATTTCAGAATACTTAGAACAGAAAGGGACCAGGTAGCACTGGGGCATTAGTATACACAATGCACAAGCAATGCTGTAATAGTGAGGTGGACAAATTATTAGAAGTGCTTAATCCTCTTTATAGATTATCAGGAGACACCATAAAATATATGTCGCCATATGCAAACTATAGTTTTGTGAATCTAGAATATCTGAATGTGTAAAGTACACATTCGGAATCTCTGATTTATTTTTAGAACCTAGAATGGATACCGGATTTAATGGATAACATTCCGCCT